TTGATGAACCAGCAATTAGTGACCGAAGATCCGGAGGCGTCAATCTCATGTAGTCTAATCACATCGTCGCACAGGCCCAAACGGTGTCATTTCTCGGTGAGCATCGTGCCGGAAAGCGCACCCCCATGTCCCATGTCTCGGAAGAACCGCCACAACCTGGAGTCGCATTTCTCGGCGGATCGAGCAGTCCGCTCTTCCCAAGCAGCCAAGATGTTGACCCTCATCGTTTCACCACCGCAGCGAACGTGCATGATCCGCCTCGTCGGAAGATTCCAAGTGGATGGATGCCGAGGCCGGTCAATGCGCATTTGCTTCCCAGAGCGCGCGGCAAAACGTTGCTTTTTGCAGCTACTGAATACTTCTATGTGTGCCAAAGCGTTTTCTGTCGTCATCTACCATTTCCGCCGTGGTTATGTGGTGGCCCCTCCGTCGCCTCGGGCAGAGGAATCGCTCATGATATATCACCCTGCATCTTATTACTATACCGACACTCCGTAGGCCCGGAGGCTGTGTTGGTGCCGGCGAGCTTGGCGTTTAATAGTAAAGTTTTTGTCGGAAATCTCGGGATAACGGTAGGTTATTACCCGCCCACCTAAGCGAAGGGAGGAAGATCCAGGTTAGCCCTTTGCCGCCTCCACATCATCAAGCCTCAATTCGACTCCTGATGCAGCAAGCTCTGACCATCTCATCCGTCTCGCGGGAGCCCTCTGCGGCTCAGCAGGTTATCAGATTCCGCCTGAGCATGTGACGACGTCAGAGGGGCCGTCGGAAGCGCATCCTGCGCCATGGTTGAGTTGACGAGGCTCTTGACTATGAAACAAGTTGACAAGCAACCATCCGTGGATAAGCATCGGCTGCCCATACCCCAGTAGTACTAGCGAGACTAGTAGCTGAGTGACACTCACCAGGCAAGAGTAGTACTTGCTAGCCGTACATCGGACGGGTGTTGTTCAGGCCTAGCTGAAGCTAATTGCTCTACCCTCGCACTAACTGACATTCCCTTGGGCTTCATTGCGACCCATGCTCACAGCGTTTGGCCGCGCGTGGCCCCCATTTGTCAAGATCGCCATCATCCTCCGCGGTATCCGTCCTGGGGTAGGGAGACTGTGCAATAGTCTCAGGTTAGGCTCTAGCGTTTCTGGAATATCGATGCTTTGCCACTGTGCTTATAGAGCCTTTCCCATCGACGACGTCTTTCCCATAGCTGAGGTGGATTGCTGACGTGCCACTTACTCAAGCACTCAAGACACCCTTCATGCGATGACTTCGGCTCATCCCCGCCCCTCCTCTGGAATGGAGTCCACACATGTGGCTGATCGTAGGAGCGCTTGACCTCTTCCTGCTACTGGCTAGACATGACGGGGTACTTCGTTGGCCAGGACCGGTGATCATCTTCCAAAACGCTGTCCAGGCGGTGGGTTGGCTCCATTAGGAGACCCTTGTGACCCCCTCCACTGGAAGGGTGTAAGTTGGCCGCGTTTTCCCTCGCTTTCGACCGCCTTCAGCTTCCTTTGAAGGAAGCGGCCAGGGTAGCCAATCCTTTCCCACTCTGAGGGGACGGGCTGGCGAACCTGGGAGGTGAGAGCCCGGAGGCATGGAAATGTAGGACTGCATGTCCAGAAATCCGATGGTGACCAACGCTAGGTGACCGCGACTCTGGAATACTACGCGGCATCTGGGCAAGCAGGCTTTGGCATCATATTCTTAGACCGCTCTCCCCCAAGCCGCCAAGACCACTGCGAATCGGAACGACTCCTGCATTTGCTCGGAGGGCAGCGTGCCATTTCACCGCTAGACGGGGCACTTCCCAATTCGATCTTTGATACATTTCCTGCGTGATGTGATGTGATGTGATGTGACGGGAGGGGATATCCTACATAGCATTGGATGCAAAACAGAGTCGCTGCAGGAGTTACAGGCACCGGGCCTGTGACGACGGAAGGCGAGGGCTGGCCAACCGAGTGAGGGCCTCGCCGTCTGAGATACGGCCCACCAGCCGTTCGCCTGGATGGAGTTCCTTTGGGGGGCGGACAGTTGACTTCGCGTCGATCTTCACGGTACTCACTCGGCACCGGTCCTTCCTCCAGACCAGGCCAGGCCAGCGCTCTGACTCGAGACGTAGCCAGTGGAGAGGAACCTGGTGTCAGGCTGCTCTTTCCTTAAAGCTGTTTGCGACCGGGGTCCTGGCTGTTTGGAAGGAGCCACGGGGTGTCGGGGCATGTTGTCATCTGCGGTACTCGGCCAGCCAAGCTGGTGTGGGCAGCTACCTGCCAGTACCTGTGATGGGGACAGGGGACGCGATCCTAATTCTCAAGCGCTCGGTCGGCAAACTCGATCCCCCCCAAGCCGACAGTTTTGCTTACGTACAGGGTAGGGTCACCCGTCATCCTCTAGCCCTATATTCGCAACAACTGACCCGAGCCGTGCGGGATGAATAAGGTGGAGGGAGATCCGATGCTCTACCTACTATCTCCTCCATGCTGAACTGCTCCTTCGGTGATTACCTATTACTGGGTATGCATGTGCGGTTGGGGGCGAAGCGGACTGCGACCTATGATGTGTGAGGTCTCTCGCTCACGTCAGCATCCACACCTTCTTGCGCCGAAACCTGATATGTGCCGACGCCTAGGCGCCTCCTATCAGTGGAAGAGCTCGATTTCGCTTAGATCGCTACGCTCCGAGCCATACAGTGACAGACTGTATTCCACAGCCTGGCCGCTAGGACTGAAGTTGAGTGCTGTCGATGGTCCAGCGCCGGATCAACCTCCTCGCGCCCAATCTGTCGGTGTGTTTCTCTCTCATTTGCGAGTCCTTAGTGCTCCTTCAACTCGGAGTCGGAGAGGATTGGGGAGGCTTTCCTACGTACGATGTACAGTGCCGTGCCTCAATTCTCCCTGTTGAGACCAAGCGCAACGGCAGCATCCGAATGCAAGAAGTAACCCGAATAGGGAAGGAAACCCTCGAGGTGGATGGATGATGATCGCTATTTTATTTCCATCACCACGCCAGACGTGAGCGCACTGGCCAAGTTTCCTCCTCTCGCTGGCTATTTTTAAACAGTTCAGTTTGGCTGCTGCCACGTAGGCAGTTTGTCTGCATCTCATCAGGCACGCAGCGAGCGCATGGCGCAACCGTCGCGGACAGGCATGGTGACACGGACTGTCCCGAACCAACTCCAACGGGCAAACCGCCGGCAACCGCGATAGTCTAATTATTCTGTGATTCATGCCGCCTCGTCTGGAGAGCGCTCCGCAGGACCTGACCCAGGGCCTGGTCCCTCCACCCAGACTGCTGGAGGTTGTATTCTCTCTCCGTCGCCGCCGGGCTGGGAAGGTGACAGGGGTGGGGATTGAAACAAGCTCCGAGTTTCTGGAAGCCATGGCGCAATTATGCGCCCTTTCCTGCCACGCCGGCTTTCAACCAAGGATAAGGGTGCATTCGCCCAAGCCAGTGTGCGGCTAGTCCCACCTCAGCCGCAGGCCAAGCGTCCCAGAGTACCGTCCTGCTGCCAACACGCGACGAGGCGGCCGGGGAGACGCTATCCTACCTACACGGGCGGCCCTGTCGGACTTGGGCTAGCCGGGCGGTCATGCCCACGCGCGAGCAGCCAGGGGGACAGGGTCAGGATGAGCTTGGCTTTGCTCTAGTGTAAGCCGACATGCCCTCCCACCTTAGGCAGGTTTCAGCATGTGCGCGTGGGTTTCTTTTTGTTCCTCCGCGAGGAGGCAGGTGGGGAGTAGTTACCACCCAAGCAAGGAGCAGGTTGTTTGGCATGCGTACATCTTGGCCGACCTCATCACCTGTGCCACGAGGCACATGAGCTGTGACCCGCTCTGACGGGTTGATGCGTAGAAGCGCCATGGAACGTCGAAACGGGCTCTTGGTATTTCTTCAGTTTGCTCTGTCTTGCTTTGGTGTCACATTCACCGGCAGCAGGTTTCCGCTTCGCGTAGCTCTGAAACTCTAGGCAAGACTTTTGCTAATGAAAACAGTACCATGTGACCAACCCCTAGACGTCCGGAATATGGGTTTGCTCCTTGGATCAAAGTGATCACGAAGCAGATGCGATTCTGTCGCATTTGAGCTGCGCACACCGGTTCGCTTTGGGCGCTCTACATATGGAGCCAGCAGCTCGCTGTGCGACGCATCGAGCGGCTATCAGACTAGTCAGCCGCGCGACGACCCAAACAGTGTTCCGTACCGCACCTAGCAGGGCACCGGCATCGTAATGTGGAGGGAGAGTTCTCTACTACGACGCTAGGCAAGCAACGGGGAAATTGTCTCAGTTGAACCCACGGCGGATGCTATCACTGATCCGATGAGGCGGTGCATTCGCAGCTTCCAGGTACTTGCGTTTGATCTGACGTACCTACAATTGTGGTACCGCACTAAAGGGGCCGGAAAGGGGCACAGTTTCGGTGTCATCCCATCGCTAGCAGCTTTTAGTTCTTCTCCCTTCCGTTCAGACATGGCATGCCATGCGAGGATTCAGTCGATATGATGAACCACCAGCAGAGTGTCTATGTAGCCGCTGACCTAGCTTGCAGTACCAAGTCTGGCTAGGAAGGTGATTATAATACATACAGCTTACTAGTGTAGTAGTATGACGCAGCTTCCTGAGCACTCGCCTAGCTACGAGCAGAGGGAATCGAGCAACTCGAGCCAGGCGACCGATCGAACCACCAATCGGGAATATCCAAGTGTGGTTGACCACCAGTCGTGCCATGCCGCCTCGTGCGTCCCAAGATCAGTATCAACCATGTGCAGGGGACCCAAAGGCCGCTAATTCGGATGACCACCGAGACGGACAAAGCCCGGCGCACACAAACCACTCCATGCAATCACCTCCACCATCACCACCAGTGCCTAGGGGAGGATATATCCTAGTTTAGTCGGTTCACTCAGCTTTCGCGCCCCGAACGTCAGTTGCGCGGAATTCCAGTTTTTGTGAGGATCCACCGTGTAGACCGTATAAGATACTGTCATCGCCAATCAAGCCCTTACACCTTCGGCTCCCGGCCGAGTCTCCACTGCCATGGCTCTGATCCCTGGCGGAACCACACATGGGGGCAGCCACCTGGCCCTCCTGCTTCTGAAAGGCAAGCCAAGTCGTCACCCAGGAGGAGGAGTGTGCCGGCAGCGGCAACAGGCTGTGCACGGACTGGTGGAGGGTGCCAATAACTTACTTAACACCGCCCTGATATAGGCCTCCGAGCCTAGTTGACATCCACCCAGCACTCCCCCCCTCGCGGCAACTTGCAGGCTTCCCGTCGCTTCTGAGCCTTTGGGCGTCAGAGTGCGCCAGCTGCTCGGACTGCCATCCCGATTCAGTTCAGCTGAGTCGACTGGCTGCATCAAGGGGGCATATCCATGGCCTTCGGGAGAGAAATGAACGTCCATGTCGACGTTCCGGCCCTTGATTGATTATCACCTCCCGCGAACCAACAGGGCAGGTAGTCGAGTGCACAGTCTGGCTTTTCAAGGCACGAGCCCATTGCCATCTTCACGCAGACTCATAGCGCCTCGCTCATCCCGAAGGTCGTCCCTGTAATATCAAGTAATTGGAAGCTGGGTGCGAGAGGCAGCCACCAACGCACTCACTGTAGCGGGCGGCAGCGAGGCCAGCATTACTGGACATGCCTGCAGCCCTAGATCACACTCATTTAAGCACACAAGGGGCTTCTGCTTCTGGCCTGCTGGATGGAACGAACTCGCAGGTCGGCCACCACAAAAAGAAGGGCCGCCCTCCTCTCCCATCCCAGGCGATCGCCGGTGGGGTTTGTTCTTGCGAAACATGTGAGCGGTTGAGATTGATTTGACCCCCACTGGATGACGAAAACAAGTCGTTTCTAGCGACCCTGTGCTGGGGGAAAGGCGGGGACACTATGGGCGAAGGGTTGTGTTGTCGAGGCACTAACTCGCTCTCTCTGAGGTGCGGAGTATGATTAGCTACCTTGCCCAGTCAGTCACCTTGCCGGTCCATGCACTGCCGAGGGTACATACATCCCTACATAGTGTGTACATATGGACTTGTTCGCGTGTGCCCCATATTACAGACTTGACGACGTTGAGAGAGTCGAGCAAGCCCTCTCGACCCGGACCTTGCCTATCCAACTCCTCCTCCTTGGGATGGCACTTCCAGCTCTTCGGCCAACACCACGCAAATCCTGCCGAGTATCTAGGATAGAGCAACAAGGAGGACAGAACTATGCTGGCTCTTAAAAAGGACCCTCCTCGGGCAAACTCCTCACAGGCAAGCACGCCCTGGCTTGCCATAATATAGTAAAGACATGCTGCTATGACCACTATCCTATACCACTACTCACGTACCTACTCGATGGAGGATTACGTCGCAAGTCTACCCGGCTAATAAGAGTGGTAGGGATCCGCCCCTAGTGTCCATTTCAACAGGAGCGAGCCTCCACTCGAAACACGTTAGCGGCTCACTGTAGCACTTGTCTGATCTCGACAGCCCTGGTCGCTGTTTGGACAATTCGTGCAGGGTTGTATGCCCCATGCCATGCTCTATTCCCCCTTCTGCAGCCAGTTAAGATATTATTTCCGATTCTGCTTTAAGGCGCGGAGACCCCCGGATCACGGGAAACCGAGCGCCACTAACACGGTCCCGTTTCCTGTCCTCGGCGTAAGAGAGTGGTGGTGTTCGTCGATGACCAAGTCTCACATCACATCTCCCTGTAACGTGCTTCCCGGACGCGCATAACCCAGGATTCACTCTCGCAGCGCCATTCCCGCCCCAGCGTCTTGACCCGGCCAAGCAGGGTAAAACGTTTCGCTTTTGGAAAGATCCTTGCCCCTGTGAGTGCCTGAGCGAGGGAGTGGGTGAAGCCGTGGTTCAAGGTCGCATCCGTGTGGGTGGTCGCAGCCTCGATCGCATGCTCAGTGTTATACATCTCTTCTTCGGCTCGTCCCCCGAAACTTTCAGCAGCCTTGAAACCTTCCGGCTAGATCGCCACCATTAGAGCAGAAGTTATGCTTCCTTGCAGTCGTCGCAGTGCTCCGAGTGTCACTCTGTTTTAACGTACCCCGCGCGGCAGGCCCAGTCTGCTTCCCACCAGGTTCAGCTCGGCTCTGCGCATAGGTCAAAAGCAGGACAAGTAGACAAGCAAGTCTTGACCCGCCGCCGTGAGCAGTGTTCAGGTCGCACAAAACTGCAGCGCAACAACAGACGACGGATATCGACCGGAGTGCTCCTTGCCCCGTCTGTAAGCCCCGCGGAGGTCTCGGCGCTAGTTTTCCAGTTGTTTCGCCTGCCGAGTCTGACAGCGACGGGAGGCGAGACGACACCTCACTCAGCGTTGGAGCGTTGGCCCGGTTGGGTGGAATGGGGGAAAGGGGAAAACGGTAGCTTCTATCCAAACACCCAAGCTCTCTCCCCGAGCGCTCGGGTCCAGACTAGCTTCTGTATAGATCCTTCTACTTGACAACCCAGCGCAGCTCATACGAGAACCTTGGAGACTTGTTTGCGAGCGCAGTCCTTGTCGAAAACCTCTGCGCCATGGCCGCCTCGTCACACAACCTCTTTTCTCGATCTCCCAACCTCTCTACCCGATCTTACGACTCTTCCTCAGTGTCGTCTGCTACGTCACCGAAGCCACCATCACAATACCTCGGGGGGATCATGAACACGAGCTCGAGGCCTGGTGGCATCCTGCCCCCAGGACCCATGGGCGTGCCTCCTCTACCACCCGTTGCGGCGAGTCCTGGCTACCCTCCTTACACGCCCATGGGGGCTTTCGGGCGCGAGTCGGTACATTCTACAGATTCGTTAACGAGCACCCCGGGGTCTTCTCACTCGCACATGGCTGCGCCCCCCGGGAGCTCGCAAAAGCGAGCATATCGCCAGCGGAGGAAGGATCCCAGTTGTGATGCCTGCCGTGAACGAAAGGTGAAATGTGACGCGACGGAAACCACGAGTTGCTCCGAGTGCTCGAGCCGGAATGTCAAGTGTCAGTTTACTAAGGAGACGAACCGTCGCATGTCGTCTATAAAGCAAGTTCAAGATTTGGAGAAGCAGATGAATCAGGTTAGGCAGGAGAACAGCCACCTTCGACGCAGACTCGAGGGGAGGGAAGGGTCAATAGACGTGGAAATGGAATCAGCAGAGGAAACTCCCCTTCAGCTACCGCCACCAGGCTCCGAGCCGAGACGAAGGGAACGATCGACGCCGATGCCAGACTTGGCCCGAGCCAGAGCGAATATCCACAGCCTCTCCAAGGGGGTCTTCAAGGCCCCTACGCCATACCGTCTCGCCATTCTGTCCACGTTTGAACCTCCTCGACCCGATTTGCCGCCTCGCCAAAGTGCAGAACTGCTCCTCGCGGCATACTATCGATCAGCCCACACCATGTTTCCGATCCTCCACTGGCCTTCATTCCAAAATGAAGTTGATGATATATACAATGGCCAAAGCTCAAAAGTCCCCCCCAGTAGTCTTTCTCTGTTCTTCTCGGTTCTGGCAACGGGGAGTTTGTTCAACGAGGAACCTCCCACTGGGCAATCCTTTTACCGCCCTGCAGAGCTCCTCGAGACCGCCAAGAGTCTCTTGGACCCTTGGAATAACGATTTTGACTTTGACACTTGTCGGAGTTTGGTTCTCATTACCATTTGTCTGAACGAGATGAACCTCAAGTCGGCTGCATGGAATCTGTTGGGCAACTCAGTTCGGGTCGCTCAAGACTTGGGCCTCTATTTCGATGCAGGGCCTTGGCCAATTATTGAAGGAGAGATGCGACGACGGACCTGGTGGGCCATATATGTCCTTGATCGAACATTGGCTTCCGAGCTGGGGCGTCCCAAGCTCATTGATGACGATGACAACGACGTGCCGCTCCCAGCAGGTGTCGACGACCAGTACATCCGCCCGGATGGCACACTCGTACCAAATGGAGTCCAGCCCCTAACGCATTCTCTGCTCGCAGTTATCCATGTCGTGCGATCATATGCACCTCTGATGAAGGCTCTCAGGGCACCCGTGGTATCTCAGCAACGGCTTGCAGTTTTCGAAGCCCACTTCAAGCACTGCCTTGAATCCTCGTTCCCAGCCCAATGCTACCCTTCGAGCAACCTCCCTATTGCCCCTCATTTTCTAGCACCATTAGCCTACCTCTTCCACGCTCGTCTTGTTCTGCACAGACATAATCTAGCCCCGAGATGTTCTCCAGCTACACGATTAGCTGCTCTGGAGGGTTGTACGCTGGTTTCTCTCGACACAGCGGCACTGGTCCACAGGACAAGCGGCTCCTTGGCCGAGGGAGCAACGGCTCTGCTGGCAACGCACATCTTTCGATCTACCTTATTTTTACTTCTAACAGGCTACTTTGACCAGGCAGCTACTTGTGTTAGAGCTCTAGCTTCGATCAGCACCCGTAGAGATGTGGCGATTCCGTGCGGCCGATACCTCTTCTTCTTCGTCACCAGCCTGCTAGGGCCCAAGAGGTCGGAACACCTCGATTATATCCAACAGACGAGACCCCCGGCCTCGATCCGAACACCGCACGATCATCAGTCGGCCTTCCTACAATCGCTGGTGGGGGACGAGGAGCTGATTGCCTACGCCTCATCCGACATCCAGTCGTCTCCCGAACACAATTGGTTGTGGGCAGGGTTAGAACGGGAAACGGACCTCACCCAGACGACTTCCATCTCGACGGCATCTTCGTCATCGGCGAACAACGCTCTGTACAACTCGGAGGCGCGAACCGGCTTGACGAGCCAGGAGAGCAGGTCGTGGGGAGGCTGGGCCCAGCTTGAATCCGCCACCCGCGCCCTCGCACCGGGTGCCGCACCAGGACCTGCGCTCTCTTCCACTCCAACCCCGCCTGGTTCGGGCGGTACCTGGACAACACTCCCGCCGCCGCAGATCAAGACCGAGCCGTCGGCCTCCAACGTCGAACTCCCCCGCTTATCCGACGCGCCACGGTACATGGCAGACGCACCGAGGGTGGTCAGGGAGGGCAGCAGCACGGGCAGCCCCCCGGGGAGCGACTCGGCGAAGAGGGGCGTGGATCGTCTGAGCATTGCAAACATCATATAAGTCTCCCAACGCGAGGGTCGGAAAGGAGGGGGGCCCCTAAACGGAAATGGGAAGGAAGACTGGAAGCATACTACGGCGAAACGAAAAAAAAAGGTCACAAACCTGAATGTCCGAAAAAAGATATGGCGTCTACTACATACAGAATAATCTGCTCACAGCAAAAAAAGTTTGTTTCCAGTGAGAACACACCATCGACGAGAGCTCACCGGGCCACTTGCAGTGCAGGACTCGGCTTCGGATGGGCCTGCATAATTAGCTAGGAGTTTACGGTGAATAGCGGGGGGGGGCGAGATAAATGGCTGGACGGTGGTCCAGGTTTATTTTGGATTTTACTATGACTGCAATG